TATCGTATAGACATACACGTAAACACAAATAAACACACACATACATACACACACACATACTATATATATTATATATATATATATATATATATATATATATATATATATATATAAATATATATATTTATATACATACATACATATATACATACATACATACATACATACATACATAAATACATAAATATAGATATATATATATATATATATGGACGTAAACATACAAGAATACACATGTGCGAATTCATCACCTATGGGAGTATATATAAATCCGATTGTAGGCTGTGAACATAAGGATATGCGTCGTCTACATATAGAAGGATAAACTAATACAAACTTCTGGATATAGAATATACTCGTTGCATACAATATGACGAATGCGAAATGTTATGTGAACGTACGTACCGATATGGACTGGAGTACGTCCTTGCTGGTTTGCGGTGACATGATAAAATATGCGAGGATCTATTTGGATTCGCAGTAAATATGGTATTTGTACCGTAAATAGCCTTGCTTAGATTCCGTATAGTTGTGGAGATAGTTCTGATAATATACTTTACAGCGTGTTTTAGACCACAAAGAACCTTCACTCTGATGACTTTGTAGTTATGCTCAACTGCGATATACACGACTGGCTATTATCTGTCCTAACAACATTGACAAATATCGACTCTATATGTGATATGATGGCCGAAGAGAACAATCTTGTTCCCTCTATCTTTCGATCAGTGCGCAGTTCAGCGGTCGGGAATCATTGCATTACTATTCGTTTCTCCACTCGGCGTGCGGCGTTGGCGTTCATCTCAGTTCACAGTTCACACTTTGCAGATCAGGTCCCGAAAGATGAGGTCATGAGACTGAGAACGTCAACTCGTTTTTGCACCCAGGCAATAACGTTGAACGTGAGCACAAAAAGTTTAAGAATTTTATACGTTTTAACGTAAAAAGATATTGCTACATATACTCCAGAAGTTCGAACTACACCCAGACGCACAGAGACTGTATGAAAGTTCCAAATTTCAAATTTCAGAAAAGTATGAAAACTGCAGAAAAAGGACAAAATTTGTTGAATATATAAACTGGAGAAGACGCCAAAATACAAAAATAAATAAATAAGTAGGAAAACTGCAGAAAAAGCCAATATTTTTAAAATATACAAACCGCGAAAAAGCCAAAATATATTTTGCAATATATATTTACATGATGGATTAAATTTAGGGCACATAAATACACGTGCCAATATTAAATCATACATACTTGATACAATCTGACGTAGCATCTTCGTTGTCGTGCATACCACAGAGGGACAGGTTGTTTAGGTATCGCGAAGCCCAGGCGAAGGTTGTACATTTTCATAATAATAATATATATATAGCCCATTCCTATCCTACTAATACAACGCAGCCATGACTCAAGCATCACTGCAGTCGTTGATGAACGACACGTTCACCGCAATCAAGGACACACCAGTGACAAAGAAAACATCGGCGAAGAAAAAGGGTAAGAAAGCCAAAAAGGAGGAAGAAACACCACAGACAGAAATATCACTAATCGATACTGCGACACATGAACAGAAAGCAAATGGTAATAAGAAACGGATATATAAATCACATAGTTCTGTTGCGGGAGTTTTGTCAACAGAATTGAAAAATTCATTAAGAGATCAGGAACCATTGTTAAAAGTTAGTAGTAAGCTGAAAGTGTCGTACACGGCGCTAGACGACGTGGCAGTGGAGAAGCTAGCGGACCAACATCCCAGAGCACAGGTTGAGAAAAAGGTAATTTCAATAGCACTCAATTAAGA